GAACTGAAGAGGGCAACTTGGCGAGACACGCTGTTCAAATAACGGAAAACTCGCCCACGCCTGCTGGGCTTTCGCAGGAATCAGCGTGAACGCATGAAGCCGGAGAAAGTGAAGCGAGACCTCCTGGTGGATACTCACGAAATTTCCCAACCTTGTACTGGCTAAATTCTTGAGCGGGACTCGCTTCGAATTGGACGACGATTTTCATATTGTGCTGAAAAAAGAAAAACAAAAAAAATCGTTTTTAAGGGGAATTTTTGGGGGACTTTTAGGGAAGCAATTCTGATTGATTATGTCATAAAAAATCAGAATTAGGTTTCCCAGACAAAGCAGAATTTTATGAGAGGTTTCTCAGTCAACAAAAAGAAAGCAAACACAAAAATCAGCTGATTTCCCAGCCTGCCTCCTTTTAATAGTGGCTGAAAGTAACATTTTACTGTAATTCAGCAAGGTTGAATAGAAATCAATATAAGTACAGAACCATCAAACTGGCTGGTATCCTTTAGAACCAACAGGCAACCAAATGCTTCTAAATTCAGGAGCTGAGTGTAGTGGCTGTTCTATAACCTTAGATTGTTCTCCCAACATCATTTTTATTTGGGATCATTTTTATTTTATCTGGCCGTATATGGCACTTATATTACTATTATTTTCATTTAAAAATTGGGATACAGTTGATGCATTCCAATTCCCAATACAGCTCCAACAAAAATCAAATAATGACCTGGGTGAGTTGTTAACTCCTTGTTAGTCCCTAAATTCCATCTTATTTCATGGAACTCAGGTTGAAAAAGAAACAAAAGAGTGAGACCCTGAAATACATAACAAGGTGGTGCATGTACCTTGTCTCTATCTATATGTTGGATCACATTTTCCCAGTGACTTCAATGGGAACTTATTTACTGTAATTGGTTCTCGGGCTAATCAAAACATTAGGAATAAATCCCTAAGAAAAAATGAATAAATTAGTTTCTCAACTTGAAAGTACAGAATATACCTATGCAGAGAAAAATCAAGTAGGATTTGATTTTTAGCATCAGAAACCCCCAACAAAGCAAAAATTACAAGTCTTATGCTGTGGACACATGATGAATACTGAACTTTGAAAAAGCACTAAAATAATGTTTTCCTGATTCTAAGTTTGAGTTAATTTGTAATACAATTTGTTGTCAGCTGGTTGAAAACGTGCTCTAACTTTCCTTCGCCCCTCGCTCCACTCATTAATGTGGATGGCCGCGCATGCGTGCGCAACTGAGTTTCCCTCGTTACCTGCCCTAATTGTAATTCTCCCCAGGCGGTCGACAGCCCCATAAATTTAACGAATACTGTGTTGCAGAATACGTGTGTGTCTCCTTTCTTTGTCTGGCTGGATGGTCATTGCCGAGCGATGACCCTATACTGTCTGGTTTTACTAAAGTTGATAAAAGGCCGCGCAAGGCCCAGTAGAAGGCAGTGGTAAAGATACCCTCATGAAGAACTGAGTCCGTCGAAGACTAGTTGTATACGCGTATATATTGGAGCTGAATAAATACTTGTAAGTCAAACTTGCATGTGTTTATTATCATAAAATTGTCTTGAGTTCTCAAGGTACTTGGTCCAGGATCCACCTGGTAAAAGAGGTTCAAACCTTTGAAAAATAATTGTCAGTATATTTTGTGGTCATCCTCTTAAAGGTTTTCAATACGAGATAAAAATTCGTATTGATTGTGAAACCCACAGTGTACAACAACAAATTAATCTCAATGTTTTGTGAATATCAAAAACGCCCAATTTATTCAAGAGGAATCAAATTTTTATGTGAATGAAGTGCAACAGCAAAAAATGGCTCTGTGATGTTGCTTCACTGCCAAATCCCGATGCTAGCCTGCTTGCTGAGTACCAGCCTCAGGGCATCCTGTGATCCAGGCAAATTTCTTTGGCATGATTGATTTTCTCTTATCAGTTTCCCTCAACAATGAACACAATGGCCTACCATTACTTTTTTTATCACTGGTAATTTTCAAAAAGTTACCATTTCCTGATCATTGCATGCACAAGCCATAAAAAAACAAAATTTCATCAATGTAATGTAACAATTCACTTCTACCAATGAAAATTCACAATGTTGAGCATGTACACATACACCTGACCATTGCGATGAGTAAAACAAATTTGGAGTTATGAAGTTGTCCTTAACACATTTGCATGCAGGGGGTCACAGGCTGGCACCCATAATAAGCTTGCACTGGGATTTGGTATTGGAGCAACATCCCACTGATCAATATTTTTACCTCCTCCCCCCCCCTATCTCATAAATCTTGAGAATGTGAGCACATTCTTCAAAGCAGCACAAAGTTTGTTGGTCAAATTACTGGTTCTGTGTCATATTTATCCCTGATAACAGCTGTGGAGAATACAGCAGCTCATAGGAAGGAGTTTCTTAACAACAAATTTTTTTTACATTTTTCATTCAAATGTTTCTTGTGATCATGCCATGGTACTGGGGATCATAAAAATGCAGACCATTTGAAAGAGAAATGAACATGCTTTCATTTGGTTTTTTGTTAATGCTGCAGAACAATTTGCTACTGGACTAATGCTAGTCAGAAATTTTTTTTTGGCTCACCCCATATATCTGCCTGTATAGTTACCTTTGTGTTATGAAGTGTGCAGGCTTTTCTTGTTGATATTCAGGGTGATCATGCTACTGCTGGTACATGATTGGTCGTTTGAAGTCCATATGGGCATGGGTGGAGGGTTTTTATTTTTTTTTCGGCTCCCTAATGATGAAAATAGGTTTGGGAATGCCCATTCCACGAAACGACTTTTGGGCGGACCTGGGAGGGCACAGCTGGACAGCGATTGATGCGGGCTTTATCTTCTGAAGTCCGGGCTCATTATTTAAGCCGTTTTGACCGCTTGACTCGAAAATTAGGTAATCCGCCCTTGGCCCATTTTGCAGCGGAAGCAGAACCCAATTGCTTTTTCTTTTCTGGAACATTCCGCCATTTCCTCTTCCTCAGCAGCCTTGAAAATTCACTCTCGTTTGTTATTTTTAAAATTTGAAAACTCTATACCTTTTCACGCAGCAAATGGCTCCAAAATTCGTCTTCTAATACAGGTGGACTCTCTCTACTACAAACTTGTCTACAACCAATTTTTGCAAGCATAAAATTTTTTTTTGGTCCTGGCAGAATGCCTGAAGCAACAATGATAAATGACTTTGTCTACAATAATCCCTTGGCCTTCTCACTGTCCCTAAAACGTTTTGTTTTCTATACCTCTCGGGAGCGGGAAAAAACGGCTGCGGATTTTTGTGGAGAGAAAGAGCCACAAATGAAAGAATCCATTTTTTGGGCTATAAAAGGCCGCTTTTGACGGCCAAAAACTGGAGTAAGTGTGGAATGCCAGACACACTGTTCTGAGGGGGAGGAAAAAGAAGGGTCACCAGAAAACCCTTTGACTTTGCCAGCCAGTAAGCCTCTTTGAAGCCCCCATCCTGGGCACAACAATGTTTTTTTTATTCTGCTGGCCAGAGAAAGATGCAAAATACAGGCATGTTCATGGAAAGAGGACAGTGCAGGAAGACAACAGTAAAAGGAAGACAAGGGTGCATGGCCAAATGTGATCCACACCTTCATTTCATCTGTTTCTTTTGAAAGTTTATTTTTGTTTCGTCTTCCATGCAACTGGTAGATATGTAAAACAGGGGTGAATAGTTCATTAAGGTGATGGAGGCCTTGTTCCCTTCCATCACTGTCACTATTGATTAGGTTTTTATGAACATTTCTCAGCTCTCCACAAGCTATTTTTCCAAAGCAATTTTTCA